GAGTTGAAGGCCCAAACAGCTGGAGTACCATAGTTTGAGGATGCCTGCTCTACAGTAAGTAATTTATTACATAGCCAGATAGATCAACAGGATATATATCAGGCCCATAGTGAAGGTCTGAGCAGAGAAGGGGACTTCTGAGAACATGCAGAGTGCATGCCCCTTCAATAGTTTAAAGCATTGAAGGTCCTATGCATAGGACCCTGACAAAATCTCAAAATTGAGAAGTTTTTTTCAGTTATTTTTTTAAAAGAGGTGTGTATTAGGCAGGACAAAGTACAGGGATAGTTTATGAGATGGTGCAGTAAGCAGATGATGCAATCTGTATGAATAATTCACTATTGGGGGGACGTGTAATAAGAAAAAGGGCAATTTCATGTTTCACCAAGAATGGGATTGTGGTACCTAAACACTCTATTAGACAATGGTGCAATAATTGAACCCTAAACCAACTATATTATTTTAATGAATTCTACTTTATTTTTGTCTCTTGAGAGCATGATTTAAACCAAGTTGTTTTGAAGGAGAGTAGACGTTTTTGGGCCACTGAAAAGAACACTTCTGGAACTCTGCTGTTTTTTGTGCTTTGGCATATCTTTGTTCCTAACACTTCAAAGAGATATCTAGTCTAACAGCTGAGAAACTTAATTTACCACCAAGAAGAAACAGACCTCACAACCTCTGCCATAGATGCAGGTGAAACGTCAGGAGAGAATGCTTCAGGAATATGGCCATACAGCCCAGAAAACTCACAACAACCAAGTGAAAATGGATTATTTCTGGAGAAAAGGTAAGAAGGAACAACACGTGATAAGGAATAACAAACAGGACCCTGATTTGCCTCAACTTGATTTCAGATTTTCAATGGGTTACATTATAGCAGGGGTCCTCAAACTACGGCCCAGGGGCTGGATACGGCCCTCCAAGGTCATTTACCCAGCCCTCGCTCAGGGTCAACCTAAGTCTGAAATTACTTGAAAGCACACAACAACAACAATCCTATCACACCAGCCAAAAGCAGGCCCACACTTCCCATTGAAATACGAATAAGTTTATATTTCTTAAAATTGTTCTTTATTTCAATTATTGTATTGTTTTAAAGTGATTTTTGCACTACAAATAAGATATGTGCAGTGTGCATAGGAATTCAATCATGTTTTTTGTTTTCCAATTATAATCCGGCCCTCCAACAATTTGAGGGACTGTGACCTGGCCCTCTGTTTAAAAAGTTTGAGGACCCCTGCATTATAACATCTATTTTCAAGAACTATTTGAGGACTGTCTAAAATCTGGCCTCAGAGTTTCTGACATGTGAAGGATTTTGGTGTCTGCTTGTGAGCAGAATACAGATTGAGTAGTTTGAGCGTATGTACACAAACCTTTCTGTGTCACGGCCAGAAATGTGATAAGTGGGAGTCAGGTCTTTGGAAATCTACTCAAGCCTGGCTAATTGACCCAAACAGAACGGTTCACTAGAGTGGAAAATAGTCTCTATCTGTCTGACGGAAAAAGATAATGATCTTTTAAATAACAGGAGCAATTTTAACTCGATATCTCAATTACTGTGAACTCTTAAATGTCAAAGTACTGGGAACATTCAAAGTAACTTAATTTAGACATTTATATCTCTTAGACACTGCTAGTTTCTTATCTAACTAATTATGAGTTGTTCACAAAATGGTTGAGCATCCTAATTAATGTTATTTTTTATAGTGATACATAAGCTTGGCCTTTGGCCCCCTACCTGCTCATTAGGCATTTGATTACATTGTCTTCTTGTAGACAATTCGGTCTTTTCAGTGATGCCACTGAAAGAAACACACACTGTCAGAAACTAAAACCCTTTCTAGAACAGGAACATGCTGGAAGCATGGGGAGCATGTGTACTGGATTTACTGGTTTGAGGAAAAGCTCTCCCGGGCACTAACTCTCTACAGGACCTTACCTGCTAAGAACTCACAATTAACAGAGGTGCGATAATAAAAATGGAGGGAAATAAAGTTGAGGGCCAGTGCACACAATGAGAGAAATCCAAATACAGGAAAATTAATGTCATGGGCATAACATAAAGCTTTTCAAAGCAGTATTTTTCTTGGGTTAAAAAAAATGTTAGAAACCCTATTTCTGACCACCACTCGAAAGGGGCTAAGCAGGTGCAGCTAATCTTAAAGATGCAACTACTCTGTAGAGTGAATGCAGTTTGACACCGCTTTAACAGCCATGGTGGAATGCTATAGAATCTTGGGAATTGTACTTTTACAAAGTACTAGCTGTCCCCTGCCATCTGTTGCTGTGGCCCAGTCTGCGTATATGTGTTTTGTGTGTGTATATGTTTGTGTATATGTGTATATATGTGTGTTTGTGTATATATGTGGTTTTGCATATGCGTTGTAATTTTTTGTGGTTTTTTTAAGTCTCTTCTGCTGTGTTTTTCAGTTTTTTTATGAGTGATGGTCACTCGTTGGCCTGAGAGGTGTATTGTATCCAAATTTGGTCTCAATTCGTCCAGTGGTTTTTGAGTTATGTTAATCCCACAAACAAACATTACATTTTTATTTATATTGATTTAGCCTTCTCTGCCAAATAATGCTGGTGCTCCACCAAACTACAACTCCAAAGATTCCAAAGCCATGGTTTTTAAATTCATGTCAAACTCCATTCATTCTACAATGTAGATGCACCCTAAGGACCTCTTCACACTTCGTGCTCCATGGGTGAAATACTGAGCACCGGCGGTCACTGAAAAATAGGTAAGGACCTCTTTACACTTACTTATTTTTCAGCAGTGTCAACAGGTGCACAGTAGTTCAGCCACAGAGCCCAATGGGTCCCATCACACCCTGGAGAAATACTTCTGGGGCAGCTCCATGGCTGAACTGCTGCCACTGCCAAAAAAAAAATTGCCAGTGGCAGACTACAGGAGCTGGATTTCGGCAGCTTCCCTCTGTGTGATGAGGCAGGGGGGAAGCTGGACGGAGTGCGGCGCGCGGCAACAGGTCCCCATGCCCCCTGGTTGGGCACCACTAAGATCACTGCACTCTGTGGCGATGCCAGATGATTCTGGTGGCACGTGTGACAAGGTGGCAAGACACACATGAATCCTCCTCACCCTATGATGTGAAGACGAGCCCAGGTAAGGATGGCTGAGTAACAGCAGCACTATCCATTCTTAGGCAGGGAGGAAGTTTCTTGAGGAAAGGGACTGAATGGAGGATTCAAAATGAAGGGGATCTTCTTCTGTCTCAGTCTCTTTCTCTCACACACATCCTTTCCTTGTCGCTGGTCACATGAAGGGGACACCCCTGGGTGAGGCAAAATATGACCTTGATGGTATTCTATGGGTTTTTTTTTTAAAGGCCCTATGTGCTTAAAGTGATGAATCGAAAGCTTATGCTCTGTGTGTAAATGTTTTTGTCTCTGTGTAAATAGCAGATGTGAATGTGACTTCTGCCTGTCACTCTCTGAGCACTGGTAATGACCCATACATGATCTGGGGAGATGAAAGCGACACATGGGACAAAGCCTATCAAGTTTAGACATTTGCTCTCTTCCAAATCCACACAGGATTGCCTGAAATCTCTGGAAACTGCATAATAACTTACAATGGGGTGTATCTGTACCAATCTGAATCGGTTTGGTAGGGTCGCCATTCAGTAGAGGTAAACAAGACAGTTAAGGAGTGATTGCTTTCCTGAAGAACATTTCCCTGTTAGTGAAAGGGAGTTGGTTTTGGAGAGAAATCCCAGTTTTGTACCTTAAAATGAGGCTTGGCTGCTCCAAGACAGACAGAAATCCAGACTCTCACCTTCTGCCTTTTCAGCATGCCTCTTGCAATGCGTGCAGACTTGCCTGAGACAGCTCCCTGCCTACACATCTAAATCTATTTGTGATTCATATTTACTGAGTATAATTCATAACACATGAATCCCTATAACCAAAATAGTTCCATAATGAATGCCACATCTATAGTTAAAGGATGTGCCATAAAGGAAAGTCAAAGTCTGAGTAGATGGAAAGGCACCTGTTTGTGTCTCGTAAGCACGGCACTGACTCAACATCTGGAAGAATGTATATGAAGCCTTTCTGAATGCTTTGAGTCTTTTAAAAGAAGAAAATGGAATCATAATCACAACCATAACAATGCCAGCTGTTTGGGAAGGGTAGAATTCCCATTTCATTTTACTTTGCAGGCCAAAAAATTGTCTAATAGCACTTTGGCTTTCTAAAAGCATCCTAAATGTGTGGCCTAAGCTGCTCTGTATGCAGTTCATGAGCTTCCCTTGGGTTCACTGGCAGAGGTCTGCTTCCAGATGTGTCATGTCCTTGCTTGCACTGGGATGAAAATCCAAGGTCTAATGCATAATACCAGTACTCATCTCTTTTCAAGGGGCAAACCATGGGTTTTGATTCCTTTAAAAGGAGAGCAATCCCACTTCAGCCCTGACATTATGTATGTAAGAACGACTGTGTTCATGAAGGAGCAAGAGAAGCACATTTTGCATATAATCTGGTAAAGAGAAGTCTCCTGTAGTCAGGGATTTTGGCTAGTATTTGTCTAATTTGTTGCTCAGTCATGCTGCTCAGTGTCAACCAGAAGATAGAACACAGGCTAATTGACACACTACATTAACTGCACTGAATATGTAGGATGCAGGGGAGGCTCACTCACTTTCTAGTAAGCACATGCATTCCACTCAGAACAACTGTAAGAAAATAATTTGTCTTTAATGTCTTTAAGAAAGAAAGTATGTTAAGGAGGGAGGGTTAAATTTCCTTTACCCCCGGACAGTGGTAATCAGATTGGGACAAAATAGCCCAGACTCCAGGCATCTAGACGATCACTGCTCTCTTCTCGAAGAGGCAAAAATCATCTTGGGATTTGTTAATTAAACCATGGTTATATTTTGTTCAGTCCCACAACACAAGGGTTTTTCCTCCCAAATATCACTGGGCCCAATCAATACACATGATTCCATCTCCAGAAGATTCCCAGTCCATAATACACACTTGGCCAATTTATTCATCGTCATTATCATATTTTTTAATTTATTATCCACCCCTCCTTATGACTTGAGGTAAGGCACAAAACATATAACATACATCCATAAAAACACGTACTAAAATAGTTAATAGTTAAAGCATATCTAAAAACATACACATATCAAAATATAACATATTCCAATACAACTATGCAATTTTAAAATTCATAGTTAAAACTGACTGGGTAGGCGTACTGGAAGAGATAGATCTTCCGAGCTGACAGTTTCTGAACTTGGTATAGAGGTAGCCCAGTGTAAAGCGCACTGCAGTCCAGTCTTGAGGTTATCAGCATGTGCACTATTATCTTTAAGTTCTCTAGTTCTAAGAAGAGGCACAGCAGGCATATCAGCTGAAGCTGGTAGTAAGCAGTCTTGCCCATCACATCCATCTGCGCTGAGATTTAGAGAGATGTATCCAGGAGCACTTCCAAACTGTGGACACAGTCTTTCAGGGGGAGTGTAAACCCCTTCCAGGACTGGATGATACACCTCTATCCCCAGACGAGGAGCCTTGATAGCAAGCACCTCTGTTTGGTCTGGATTCAGATTCAATTTGTTTTTCTTCATCTAGCCCATTACCTCCTCCAGGCATTCATTCAGAGGAGACATGATAACATTATCCAAAGTGGTTTCTGATGATATAAAGAAATATATTTTTGTGTCATCAGCATACTGATAGCACCTCTGCTATCAATATGCTGATTTATTTAGTTCAGATGAGATAAGGTATTACATTAAATAAAGATTAAAATGTTAGTATTTATATTCTTTACTATATAAAGATCAAATACATATTATGGTCTCGTGCTTGTGAGCTAATCTATCCACTTTAGAATTAAAGTTCAAACCTTTAGAATTAAAGTCCAAACGGGGTTAAGATAGATGTGCACGAATGACTCCACAAACAGAATATTACACAACTTTCATCAATTTCAGAGTGAACAGTTTGCAAAATAAAAATACTTAGTGTGTGAATGGCCTTTCCTTATAAAAATCAAAACACAAGAAGACTCAGGCACACCTAGAAGAGGTGGTGTCTTGATGAGAAATAAATATTACAATATGAAACACTACTGACTCATGAAGGATAGTACATATTTTCTCTCAGTCCATCTTTTAAGCCCCTTCTACACTGCCATAAATCCACATTATCTGCTTTGAACTGGATTATATGAGTCTACACTGCTATATAATCCAGTTCAAAGCAGAAAATCTGGATTTTATCTGGCAGTGTAGAAGGGATCTTAGTCTTTTTTCCGCCAGCTACAGTAAATCTTGCTGACCGAAATGTTGGCAGTTCAAGCCGCGGGTGGGGTGAGCTCCTGCCATCAGCCCTAGCTCTTCTGTTTACCTAACAATTTGACAGCAACAATGTGAGTAGATAAATAGGTACCGCTTTCACTGAGAGATAAAAGGCACCCTGAAGACATGTTGGCAAGGCGTCCACGGGCAACAGGCTCCCCATGGCCGAGTCGAGCACAACCTCCAGATGCCAGAAATGAAAAGAAAGAGAGGGAAGCCTTGCCTCTGTCTATATACTGTCTGTCTTTGTTAATTATGTAATGACATTAAATATTTGCCATAAATGTATTCTGTAATCTGCTCTGAGTCCCTTCAGGGAGACAAAGCAGAATATAAATAAAGTATAGTATTATTCCAGTATTTGAATGTTCAAAAAACCAGGGGGAATTGTCATGACCCAGTGACAACAGCTCCCAAATGGTAATAGATTTCTGACAAGCCTTTCCCTTCTGAACTTGCAAATTATATAAGGAAAATACAAAATTGTGTTTTTGATTTAGCCCTTTGGTTAAGATGAGAATGGTGAGCTTTTGCTCCTCTGGTAACTGATGACAAAAACATAAATAACACAATATAAACATTACACTTAACATCAAAACAAAAGCAAGTGATACAGTCAGCTGCAAAACGAAAGGGATGCTTTTGCTTGGCCTCAAATGTGTCCCTTTAAAATACAATTCAAATCTATAAAATTAGAACAGGAGAGGAAGTTTTCAAAAGCACATTTGTATGGCACTTTATATACAAACTGCATGGCAAAGCTTAAACATGTTTTAATATTATGTTTATATCTTGTTTTCCTCGAAGAGAATCTGAGCATAGACAGTCATAGCAGGAACGTCTTTTGCTTCCTGGTGAGGTTTCATGAGTTCCAGTTCTGCATAGGTTAAATTGTCTTCAGCAATTTTGGGCTAAAAAAAGACATTTAGAAAAGTCATTAGCAAAAAAAAAAAAAAGGTAAAAATAAGTGGTCAAAAAGCAATTAATATACAAAATATACTAAAAAAAAGAATAGGAACATAATAAAACAGTGGCCTAAAGTAAAGACTTCATCAGTTATACAACCAGATTCTAAAATGCAATTATTTAAAGGTTGAAAAAGTGTGATAAAAATTAGAGATATTGCCACTTTAATTTAGAAATTCTTATACTGAAACTGAGTGTGTATGTGTGTGTGTGTGTGTGTGTGTGTGGGGGGGGGGTGTTTCATTCTTTACTCTGTCCTTAAATAGTCAGTTATCACACTGGCTCTGTTTGTTGCCCACCTCTATCCCTCCCATGGGGCATGCCCTTCTCAAACAAGTCTCCTATGTAGTCTTCTAGTTTGAAGGGAATGTTTACCCCCTTGTTCATCCTACTTAGTAGCACTACCCGTAATGATGTCAGTCTGTCAATAATTCCCCTTTGATTTTGTTGTGGAAGGCGTTGGAATGTTTCTGCCCAGAATTCCTTCTTTGCCTATGTATAGTTTTGAGTCCCCCCCCCCCCAGGGGTGAGAAAGGCAATATATAAATACTGTAAATAAATAAATAGCTCAGTAAAACATACCCATATTGCTGTACACCAGTAGTTCTTAACCTGTGGACCATGGACCACCAGTGGGCCACGAGAATGAAAATGTGGTCCGCAAGCCTCCTTCCTCTTTATTTTATATATTTTATTTTATTTCCACTCCTTTAGCACCACTTGCCACTTCTTTCCTGTCGCTGACCATGGCATATATTTTGTATCAGAAACTAGAGCTGATGTGGTCTATCCAATGCAATTTTCTGAATCAGCATCCCAAACCAAATCTAAAGTTGACCAAAAGTAACCCTTTTTGTACTAATGTTTGAAAGTTGTCCCTGAGCAAAGTGGTCCCTAATCAAGTGGTTCCTGATCACAAAAAGATTAGGGACCACTGCTGTACACAGACAACACTGTCTTCTTATTGGTAGGATTAAAGCGAGCCATGAGGGCTTTTTACCAATATTGCCAAAAAAAACAAAACCCAAACAGTTAAACATAAACTATAATAAAACCAAAATCATGATTTTCTTTTTTTTTTTTAAAAAGTGAGTTAAGTACAACTGGTATATAGGAGAGAACCCAATACAACAAGTATCCAGCTCTAAATACCTGGGGTTTACTTTTCAGGCCTCTGGATCCTAGAGATGTCATCAAGAAATGGCAGTACAAAGTGCTCTATGCAGTGGAAAAGCTATAATTCATTTTTTCTACACAAAAGGTGGTCAGTATATACCAGCTGTGATAAGGGTTTTCCAAGCAAAGGTAATGGCCCAACTACTATACGCAATACCGGTTTGGATCTCAGGCTTCTCATCTCTAGTAGAACAGGTCCTATCGGGGTTTCTCAGAAAACTGTTTGCTGTTGCTAACTGTGTTCCCTCCACAGTTTTAAAACTGGAAACAGGAACAGCTTCATTGCAATCAATAGCCTGGAGGAGGGCTCTAGGGATACTGGATTGAGAGTGTATATAAGGGGCCTGAAGCGGTATATATATATATTTGATTCAAAAAAATTGTTCAAATCCCATCATATCAAAGTGGTTAAATGAGAAACTTAGGCAGCTGGGTCTTTCAGATAATTTCCTGAGGAGTATTGAGTACAAACAGCCAATGAAGATAATAGCTGAATGAATTAGTGATATAAGTAAACAGGCCTCAGTGACATTGGTGAGTTCCACATGCTCCTCACCGAGTCTAGGCTTAACATTCAATTCTTTGGGAGGCGCAAAATATCTGGAAAATTTAAATATCCCAAAATTTCACCATGTTTTTAGCAGAGCCAGATTCAATGTAATCAAATCAGCCATGCTAGTGGGTCGATTCAAAGGGATAATATCCCCTTTACTTACCAAGTGTCCTGGAAGAACCTTAAAATGGTACCTTAGATACCTACTGTGTGACACTGACAGAAAGGTGACAGAGCAGGTGACCAAATTCTTTTTTGCAGTAGCCAAAAGCCGCAAGTGCTTCATGAACAACTTGTAACGGTAGAAGAGGAATAATGAGCACTAAGGAGACTTAATCTAGAACTTTAACTAGTCCTATGATATAAAGACAGTTACTCAACTTGTAGCAGGTTAAACCTTTGAGCTGCTGAATTTGCTGACCAAAAAGTCGGTGTTTCGAATCCGGAGAGGGGGTAAGCTCCCACTGTTAGACCAAGCTTCTGCCAGCCTAGCAGTTCGAAAACATGCAAATGTAAGTAGATCAATAGTTACCAGCAGTAAGGTAACAACGCTCCATGCAATCATACTGGCTACATGACCTGGGAGGTGTCTACACCGGCTCTTCGGCTTAGAAATGGACATGAGCACCAACCCCCAGAATCAAATTCAACTAGACATCATGTCAAGGGAAAACCTTTACTTATTATCGTTACACCATAAGTCAGAACTTGATATTATTTATGATTCAAATTTTGTATATTGTAATTTGTAATTACTTGTTGTAATGTTGTAATGTATTCCCACTTGACTTCAAAAGTTGCAGTTTATTCCTACTTGACTTCAGCTGAAGGTTTATTGACTAAAATAAAGGCTACTGACTGACTAACTGACTGAATTAGGATATCCAAAACCCCACTCATTGTAAGTGGAAAATCACAGTAGCCACAGAAGACCCCTTTCCTCCCTATCTCTGACTCCATCCTGTCAGATGACACACTGGCAGAGAAAGGAATATCCTTGATTTACAACTGTGTATTGAATTCCTTGTTTAAAGCAAACAGGTTTTTAAGGTTCCTGTTTATTACATTTTCCCACACTCTAGCAGTATTATCTGCCATGATAAATTGTTCAAAACAGAGATACATTTTCCAAACCACTTGGGAACATTTATAGAAAGCAGACCCAGAGGATAGGCTTTGAACTAACTGTTGACGTTCTTCTGCATGGTTGCTATCTCAGGTTACTGGTTGTCTGCTTGATGGTTATTTTATATTGTGTTATGCCATTGTTTTATTTCATTTGTTGCTGTTTTTATGAATTTTAATGTATTATTTTAACTATGTTGACTTGGATCGTCCCCATGTAAGCCACCCCGAGTCCCTTTGGAGAGACGGAGGTAGGGTACAAAAATAAAGTTGTTGTTATTATTATTATTGTTTTTATTATTTGAAACACAACAAGATTAGTACACAGCAAACAAGGTCACTCTGCTGGCTGCTGTATTGGATCACACATCAGACACTTCTCAAGTCTCTAGGACTATGTGATGTATCAGCGAATAATGCATGCAGATACCAGTAGGGTGGCCTTTTGCAGCTGACAGATGGTAATTTTATCAGCGCTGATTGTGTTTAAGTGCAGGCCAAGGTCTTTAGGCACTACACCCAATGTGCCGATCACCACTGGGACCACCTTTACTGGCTTGTGCCAGAGTCTTTGCAGTTCGATCTTTAAATCCTCATATCATATCAGCTTTTCCAGTTGTTTCTTTTCAATCCTGCTGTCACCTGGGACTGCAACGACGATCCATACTTAGTTTTTTAACATGATTGTGAGGTCAGGAGTATCGTGCTCCAAAACTCTGTTTGTCTGAATCCGGAAGTCCCAGAGGAGTTTGACATGTTCATTCTCTGTAACCTTTTCCGGCTTGTGATTCCACCAGTTCTTTGTTGCAGGCAGATGGTATTTGTGGCACAAGTTCCAATGAATCATTGAGCAACGGTGTTATGCCTCTGCTTGTAGTCTGTGCAATCTTCTTGCAGCAGCTGAGGATGTGATCTATTGTTTCATCTGCTTCCTTGCAGAGTCTACATTTGGGATCTGTAGTTGACTTTTCAATTTTGGCTTTGATGGCATTTGTTCTAATGGCTTGTTCTTGGGCTGCCAGAATCAGCCCTCCGTCTCCTTTTTCAAAGTTCCATTTGTGAGCCACATTCATTTGTGAGCCACATTATTATTATTATTATTATTATTATTATTATTATTATTATGGCACAAAAGCACAGTATGTCACAGCAAACGAGATATTATTATTATTTGGTTAAATGAAGAACAATATGTAAAAGGGGGATATATGATGGACTTTCAAATGTTTCCTTTTCTAACCTTGACTTTTTCTCAAAGGGTGTACCTATTTCTGCTGTAGAAATACCCCCACCGCCCACGAAATCTTTGCTTTGCAAATTTGGACCAATTTGAAAGGCTAAGAACCTCTTTTATGACAAACGTTAGAAGCATGAACACTGCATGCCATTACTTCAATTGGATTTGGTAAAAATGGTACACAGGATTGTTTGCTAAGATATTTATCTTAGTCATAAATAAAAAACCGGCTTCTACAATATTTAACTATACAAAAATGTAACCGCTGTAAACTAAGAATGTGAAAACAGCAGTATTTCCCAAGTACGTACATGAAACTGTTACATTAGTCAAAAATAGCCCTTGAATGTATTTTTCTTACGGATTTTGAGAAAGGGATCGAAATGACAACATCCTATATTTTGAAGCCTGGAGAGATTGGATGTTCTTATTCCGGAGTGTTTGCCAATTATTGATTTCTTTCTAAAATCTTAATTGAAAAATGCTGGCTGATCTTGAAAGCTAACCAGTCAGATCTGCTTTGTTCTCAGGAGACCACCAATGAATAATGTCAAATGCTATAGGCTATATTTATGGGGAAATAACTGGCAAAACCACATCTGTGTGTTCCCTGCCTAAGATAACCATATGAAATTAATGAGACCATCACAAATCAACATGTGACTTGAGGTTACATATACATACACTAAACCTTTCTCTGTTATTGGCTTGACTACCTCACTTTGTTTAATGTAAAGTTTGTTCTCCCTTTGCATGAAGTTTATCTTTCCTTCATATGCATGTTTAGTGGATGGAGAAGGGTGAGGATATTATCAAAGAAGACACACTATCCCAGCCTTCTCAAGTTTCATATG